CTCATATCATTTAAATATATTTCATTAGCGAAATCGCAAACATATCAATAATTGCACTATAAAACTATAAAATTTTGAATATTAAAATTAAATGCAAAATCCTGTTACGATATTAAGAATATTACACAAAATTATTTATATTGTTTTACATATCAATAAAAAATATTAGTATATATTTGTAAAATATAATATTTTATAGCACGTGGCAGCAAATTAATTTTATTAGAAGATATATATCTATTTTGTTTCTTGTTAATTAAAAAAATAGCTCGTTTATTTATATGAAGACCAAATTGGAACGTTTGATTTCCACTTTGTGTTGCAAAATTTGATAAAAGTGTCGACTGCGGATTAATCAATGCTTACGTTTCAGGCTATCTTCCTCTTGGCTCTTGCCGCCATCGCCATGGCAGTGGAGACTTCCGAAGGTGGAAATATAAAAGAGTCGCAGGATGCTGATGTCGCCAGGGATAAGAGAGGCTTTGCACATTATTCGCCATACTCGTACACCGCCCCGTACGCATATAACACTCACAATTTGCCATACGCGTACTCTCCATATGCCTACCCCTATTACAATTACCGTCACTACAATTACCCCTACTACAACCACCATCCTTACTACTACTAAGTCAAAATGATGGAATCTGTATACGGTGATTCGGGATTAAGATGGGCGCAAGACGAGTCTCATGGAAATTTCATTGTTACTTCATGAAAATCCTGTGGTAGAAATTTTCCTCTCGAATTACAATTTAATCAATCCCGAAACTATTGATGACTGCGAGTGTGTTTGCATATTTAAGTTCTTTGACTGTTAGAATTTCTTTTTCCTATGTTTATTGTAATAATAAAATACACTATTTGTGACAGAAAACGACTTTTCTCTGGCGTATTATTATCCTTGTCTCACGTTGAAGAAAATTATACTCCTAGAATCGAACCACTTTAAATCTCCCACTTACCTAAAATCATCTAACTTTTTACATAAACTGGAGAAATAATTATTAACTTCGACTAATAAATTTTTGATGACAAGCGACGGCTAAAATCTGTTGGAGATCACTCAGAGTCATAACCTTGACAACATATGTCAAGGTCAATGTCATCAGGGATTGGCTCCCCTCTCATTTACATATTTATCTAATAATATAATAATAGTGATAATAATACAATAATTAGATATATATAGGGCATTCCACGCCAAGTGGGCCACTCATTTTGCGAAGTTTCATGGATTTCGTTCATATTGCTTGAACTTGAACAGTTTGATGAATAAAGACTCTATGCCGAATAATATACCTGTAGGCCAACTGGTTGCCGAACTATAGAGCCGTCAATTTTTGGGCTTTCTCGTCGCAGGGCTCTTTTCGCTTGTCATTAGTGGGCATGAGAGGCAAGTTTGAAAATGAAATGTAGAAGTTACCTTATAGAAAATTGAACGCTCTTTCACGTAAAAATACTTTTTTTTCGATCAGACCGATTTACAACAATGTTTGTCAGTTTTGAAGTTTTCAAAATGGCGGCGCGCCTAAAAGGCCAGTCTCAATTTTCTTTTAATATAGCTCAAAATGTAGCTCCAGGTCTCTACTTTTTGTTACTCTAAAAGGACTTAATGGGACACGCATTCGTTTGGGAGTAAGAGCTAGGAAAGTGAGGAAAATGAGTGGTGTGGCAGGGGGACGGAGCGACATTGCCTCACTTTCCTACTGGAACTGTTGTAATTTTTTTGATATCGACAGAATGTCGTGCCAGCTTCACAGATCCTACTATCTAATGCTATCTCATGTATTTGTAAAACAAAGTTCGCGCTCGCGCGCATAAGTGTGAGTGTGTGTATGTATGTGCGTGTACGTATTTATGATAATATTTGATCTCAAAACCATAAGAATAGCGCAACTGATACTCCTCGAAATTAATAACTTCAAATTTATGCCCCATTCTTCTACGATTTAACTTTACCAAATCTCTTGGGAAAATGATAGTGGGTCGTGTTCCCGACACAATCAAATCCACGCGCCCTTTGGAAAATTTTAAAAGTTGAAATCGGTCACACAGTGTAATGACTCATTATAGTACCTATCATCTTATCTAACGATTTTACTGTTCAATCTTTCTGCAACATCTGAAGATGGTAAGATATTGCAGCCGAAATATGTAATGTAATATAATGTAATGTATTGAAATAATTATATTATTATATAATATATTTTTTCTTTTTTTTTTAAAGTTTTTTTAAGATTAGAAGATTCAAAGCAATAAAATATATGTATAGATTATCACAACAAAAGAAATACATAAAGGTATACGTATACATCAAAAGAAATTATATTAACGTCATATATAATGTCAAATAATAATTCCTAGGATAAATATAAAGCATGCATATCAATATCAAGATTTGTATTCAAATGTTACATATATTAATTAATTTTTAACTAAAAATGAAAAATTAATAGAAATGTTAACTAATTTATTGTTATTCATACTTGGTATAAATTCTACTGTGATCAAAAAGTATATTGTAATTAGATTATTTAAACTGCGTATTTTAATCATACCGAAAAAGTTTTTTTTTTATTAATTAGGATTATTTCTATAGTATATAAACTGATTAAAATTTTTAACTGCCTAAAATATCACGTTAATTTTTGTTACACGTTATTTACAAATAAAGATATTTGGATAAAATGTACTGATGAGATATCGCTTTAAAACACATAAAAATAGATAGAAACTATTGTTATCCCCCATGACTATCAGTAAATAGTCATAAAATGTTATATTAAATAATGTTAATTAGAAAGTATTGGTTGAAAAAGTGATTCACTTGTAATAAATTATAACTATAATTACAGTTATAAAATAAAGTTTATTTTTTCTAAAATTATTAGAAAACCTATTTTAGATATAAAGCGATATTTCTTGATTGAATCTTTGAATAAATGACAAACTTTTAGTATCAGAGATGATCCAATCTAAAACAAGAAAAATAAGTTCATCTCAAAATCTTTGAAGTATCTGAATGTTCTTTTCTACAGCATATGTATGTTTCAATACATAATTAAGTCGCATTCTGTCTTCCAAATGTTGTCTGTTTACGGATTCTGTTGTCGAAGAAGGTCGATGAAGTGCAACGTTATCCAATTCCCGATTTCTGATTCGCACGACATTAAATCGTGCTCGCGTAATACGAGCAGGCGTTTGGAATACTTTATTCGAGGCAACTCGATGTGTCGGAAACTGACACGGCGATCCGATTTACGCGTAATCTCGGCGCGTTACACAATACATGTCCTTACAGGAACGCTTATTCCGTATTCCTTGAGGCTTGAGACTTCGCCCGTAGACTTTCACTGGGTGATCCGGGCGAGGAGACCGGGAAAGGAGATCGGGCGAGCGTGACCGGAATATTACGCCGGAGTTGTTCACTGCGTTTCACGTGACATCCCCGCCGTGACCTCGTCGGAAGTTCACGACGGCGCTTGTTTCCTCTACCTCTTTATTTTCCTATTAAGAATATGTAACTTACGAACGGATGCGATGACGATCACAAGTTTCGATCTGCTTTTCTTTACTTGTTTTATACATTGTAATGTATATGTTGATAGAAAAGTGACACAACTCAATAACATAATCGAAAGATGTTTTTGATGTCTAAAAGACATTTTGAAAACGTCTTATGCCTCTAATTTAGACTTTATATTGTCTGGAAAGTCAAGAATTAGAGTTTTTGGGTTAATGAAAGAAAATTAGATCTTAAAGGTTAAATAAGTTGTTTTTGTGAAAAAACAATACACATGTTATTTATTTATATGGAAAAGTTCTGATAAGATGGAATTTACATTAGAGTTGCAATGTTCGAATTTTGATAACTCGATCATGACATAGTTTTAAAAAACTATAATTGAAAATATAATATAGAAAGAAAGTAAAATAGAAATGACTCATTATATAAAACGTTCCAATTCATAATTCAATGTTAATTAAATGCTCTACTGAAAAGTTAGCTAATTTTGGAAAGTACTACTTTTCTATTAATGCATCTTACCTTGCGACGGATGGAACAATATTCGGGCTACTCTGTCACAATAAAACGCGTCCTGTGTTTATACCTTTCATTAAAAACAAGTCTTGCGATTTTAAATACTTCTTCTGTGCCTTTTATAGTAATTAATAAGCTAACTTCGTCTTTCACGGGTTTTTAGTTGCGTTTCATTATTCTTTCCTGTTATATAGATTCATTAGGAGAAGATTTTAAAAAGGCAAGGTACGTTTCATGATATTTTGAATTTCGCTAAATTATGTGAGAGAGATTATTTACTCTATCTTCACATCTTTCGATTTAATTTAGATATTTTTAAACAAATTTTAGTGTGTGCTTAACTTTAATATAAACGATAAATATAACTATAATATATTACAATAAAATATAAATAAAATAATAATAATAATAATAATAATATGTTACAATAAAAATTACGCGATTGTACACATTTATAAATATATATTATAAATATATATTTATTTTTAACTTAATTTTGTTAAAATTTTTTATTTTAAAAGACCATTGTATTTTTATTTTTACATTTATAGCAAACACATACAAACACACACATACACATATGTTATTGAGGATAAGACTTTAGTAAGCGAGTACACAATTTCGATTACAGGACTACTCCGAATATACGATATACTTTTCATCGATATGTATAACGTCACAAATCCGTAACAGTATTGCTTAAGTTCAATCGAAGAAAGCCTGTAAGAAAGTCTATTGTAATTCGTGGATGGTCGCGACCCAATTGTATTTATACATGTGCTGGTATAGCTATAGTCTTAGTCGGTCTGGACTTGTCCATCCTTAAACAAATTAGTTTCTTGAGTCGTGCAGTTTAATTCAATGTCGAGGCCTCGTGGGAAATAGCGTAGTTTCCTATTAGAAAAGGCAGCCTTAGTGTAGTGTTAAGTGCGAGAAGGATTATACGAATTTGAAGATGCGGTTGTTTTTGGTACGTAATAGATTTAACTATGAAATCTATTGATCTTCGATGTGATTACCATGTTGTCCATTCGTATATCGAACCGCATACACATAAGTAATATAAAATTGTAAAAATGTTGACGCTTTCAATTTTTATATAAAAAGTAAAATTTTATTAATGTTTCATGTATTAATCTATTTTAAAACGTTTTTATATACTTCATGTATAAAATAAATATACAAATAATTAATACATAATATATGTATAAAAAATATCTTTCTGTCTTTTTAAAAAATTATAAATTTTCATTATTTAAAAATATTAATTGGAATATTAAAAATGCATTAAAATAAAAAATAATTCATAAAGTAATATAATTATTATAGAAGAATTAACGAGTTACCGATGTACTGACACACTTTTGTTTTGAACAATACTTCTTAAATGAAAGCAAAATATAAAATTTCAGAAATAGACTTATAATATAATATAAATAGAAACATATAAATACCAACTAGAAAGTGTGTTTAATCAGATAATAGCAGTTTTTATAATATTTTTCAATTTAGCAACTAACTTTTTCGTAAGCAAAAATGAGCCTAACCAAATGGGTTTCAAAACGATAATGCCACATGTTTCTATTGTTTTTCTTTCATAGAAAAGCTCTACAAAATATTTATAAATAAATGTATATAAGATTTTCTAGAATTTTTTTTACTTCGTAAAGTTAAATAAAAACAAATCACATGTTCTATCAGAATTAATAAAATAGAATAGTTAATTTCCGAGAAATAAGGGAGTGTCTTTTTTAAAAGATTTATGTCGACGACTTTCCACTACATTTAATTTTTCTTAAGAGAAATTTACTTTCCATACATTTGATTTGATTGAAATATGTGACATTAAATATTTATTCTATTTTATTTACATCTCCTAGTTTTATATCACAACGTTTGGCTACTTTATACAAAAAATATGATTCATTCTTAGGTTATCTGTGTCTCTGTATTGATGCTTTCGCTGACGCAAGCCAAGCAAAAAGCCGAAATGCAAAAGTCAGAAGTCACGAAGCTCGAAGTGGTGAATCTTGGCGAAATCGAAGTTGAATCCAATTTCAAGCAATTTGACGTACAGCGGAAACGAGATTCCGGATACATCTATAACAGGCCGAGTCATGTCTCTTCAAATGCTCGGTTTCGCATTCAAACGCATCCATCTAGAAGTCAAATAGCATTTAAGGTCCCTGGTCAATTGAGTAGACCGTTTACGAAATATGGACCTCCGATTCACTCGACTTCCAATCCGGCCACACACGAATATCATGCTCAACAACATCGGAACAAATTGCAGTATGACATCAATCAACAGCAATCGAGCAGTTTCGGTGGAGCAGGACTGGTGGAACAGGAAGTACCGAGCCCGATCAGAAACGTTGATTTTACGGAGGTGAATCCAATTGCTAGTCAAAATAATGAGCCGTTTGGCATGCACACGGCTAACTATTTGCCGCCACAAAATCAAAAGCTGCCAATTTATTCTTCAATAAATAATTTTGATCCACAGAACATTCCAAATCAAGGACAAATTTATGGTACAAACTCACAGAGCCAGAATTTTGTGCAAGCTCAGAATCAAATTTCTGACGCCGCGCTTTTCCTGTCCGAGAACGCGCAGGCGATCCAGCAACTTTACGGTGCACCAGCTAGCAATCAAGACTTTGCGCCCAGCAATGATCAATTTCAGAATATCGGTAATCAATTTCCTAATTCAAATGGTCAGTTCGAGAGTACCTCGCAGAACTCTGAGAAATATCGTAGCACATTGCCGTCATATGCATCGGGGACGCTCAATCGTCAAGAGACTCTGGAACAAATTCAAGCTTTAGAGAAAGATCGGCTGATCTTTCAATTGCAACAAGCCCTCGCTCGGGCTCAGATTAACCCGAATGCGAACACGGCGGGAAGATATGCTCAGAATCAAGCAGGTTTTATTCAGAATCAAGATCTTCTGGCCTCCATAAGTCAACAAGTGAATTCACGTATTCCCACGACGCAACCTACAACTGTTGGGTCTGGAAACATCGCGTTCAGCCAGTCTACCTTTCTACCAGATACCACAGTCAACCCCTTGAGATTTCCCGTTAAATACGGTATTCCGACTACTACTCAAACTCCGGCCACATCAACGGTAGCAGAGGGAGTTTTTACTACGCAATCTTCATCGCAATCATCTAAAGGTGATAACACTGTCCAAGTAGTACCCGTTTCTAACCAGCCTGGTTCTTCAGCGACTGGATCTCCGCCAGGGATCCCCGTTTATGGTGGATTCGTGCCGACCTTCATTACGGAAACCAACTTGGCTCCTAGCTACAGTACCAGCATCTTTACATCCGGATCCTTCAGGCCCGAAACATCACCTACTCATTTCGGGATACCGATTCCCACGGAACCGCAACATAAACCGTCGGGATCGGCACCCTCGATCCCAGCGACAACAACACCGCCTCTCTCGTCTGTCTCACCATCCAATCGACCGGGGGTTGTTCTAACACCGGCGGCAATCACACCGATAGCCCTGCCAATTCAACCAGTACGACCTGTTGCTCCCCTTGCGACGCCGATACATCCGATCACCACTCCTTTGTTGCCAGCGAATCCCACTCAAGTGCATCCGGCGCAATCCATTCCTGTAACGTCCAGCGTGCAACAAACATATGGTGTGCAAACTGCATTAATCAATCCTGTTCTTTATAAACCGGTTAAAGCTGTCTATCCGGTGTACTATTATCCCGTGAATATTCCCTACCAACTGCAGAAGCCTGCTTTACCGAGTTACCCTTGGAATTACGCGCCTTCGTACACGACGCAGATAGGATCGGCAAAAATATGGAAATGAGGTATTCCTATTCTATGAATAAACGGAGTGCAAATCGATCCACGGCATTGTGGCTAACTATTTATCCGCGTGAAAAAAAATCAGAGGGAGAGATTGTAGAAGAAAGTATGGCGCAAAAGAGAGTCACTATCGTATAGTCGCGTGGTTTTGATGTGTTAATGACAATGCGCTACATCGTCTGTTTTTTCACTTAAACGATTTCATTTTCTTGTTTCAATGAGAGAGTTCTAAATTGGCAAAAAGAATTGCGCTCTGCAAATCAACCGTTTCAATAGGCACTTTTATTTGTTCTTATTATCAAAGAGTAACTCTGAATTGGACGTTAATTGTATTGTTATAATTGTAAGTAGATATACGACTTAATTTACATTTATAACTTATCTATCCGAATTTTATAGATTTTTAACAGATTATGAATTATTATTTAGTGTATCATAAATAATGTGAAGTAGAATTAAATTGAAAAGTTTTATAAAATTGTATCGAGCGCCTTTTAACATTCGTAATTTCTTTACAGTTTTATATTTAATTATGCATTATTACATATATACATATACTAATTTGTAATTCTATAACCTACATGTCTAGTGTTATAATTTTAGAAAACAAGGAGAATATTTTTCTTTCTCTAAATTGTCATGCAATACTTAGTACTCAGCATATTTAAGTTTCTCGCTGTTGGATATGACTACGGTGATTCAATACATGCTTCATACTGCACATCCGATGCACCATCTGTCACACCGCATCCGTTTATTTCAAAATTCATCGTCGAGAAAGTGACATTATGCAGGTGATAATTAGCGCAGTTGTTTCATTAGAATTGGGATACTGTGGCAAGAATCTCAAGTGAGTATTTCTAAGCGTCACTTATCGTTAATAATCGATAAAAGAAACTTCGTCATTCATATAAACATTCAAAGACGTTATTTATAATGTAGAAATATATGTTGATTTTTTATAAGTAGAGTGTCACTGTAATTTTTTATTTTTATAAAAGCTAATATATATGTATATGTATGTATGTGTGTGTGTTCGTGCGTATTATATATATATGTATATAATATAATATATAATATATTTTATATAAATAAATTGCTTATTGATTTAATGATATTATATAAATGATAATTGTGGATTTCATGCGTGCTTCTTCTCCAAAACTGACTTATCTTTGAACATATATAATAAACACCTGTTCTATTTATTATTTTGTCAAATAAATACTTTTGTACTTTAGAAGACAATTCTTTTTTTCAATACCGTTTTATTTTTAACTTGACGCATATAATAAATCTGCTTTCAACAAGAAAAAATTGATAAAATTTAGAATTTGAATAGCGAATATGTTAAGAAACTGCGTTAGAATGGCTGCATACGAACGTTTAAAACGTACGCATAATGTTAATCTAATAGTAGACATACTCATACCTGCATGTGGCGCATCTCATATTATCGCAATGGAAAGTTGAGTCAAGGAACTGAATTATTTCCGGTCCCGAACGGACCTAAGAAACTCTCACCCGTATAATCGTGACCATCGGACATGAGCCCCATCATTGCTTATCGCCACGCCATTCGATTCTGACCTCGAAAGTCATTCGATAATCCCAGCCACGGTAAACGCGGTCCAATTATACGAACAATCCTAGACATGCATAACGTATAACTATTTACAGATGTGGAAGGATTCTTACACGATTTCGTAATCTTTGCATTAATTCTTAATCAGAGAGGAGAAAAGGCATGTGCCGCTGCTGTCAAATCCGATTCATAGGGAACAGATCAAGATTTTCAGACAATTACGTATTAAACAGAAATGCTTCATATTCATTTAATAACGTGTTAACAGTTTATATTCCTTTGCGGTCATCTGCGCTTTTTTCTTATTAAATTCAGTAACTCTGCTCTTTAGACAACTATATTTTTTTAAACCAGATCAGAGTGATAAAAATTTATTACTTTTTAATGTTAATATATTAATGATATGGAAATGGAACATAAATTTCAGAAAAAGGATGACTATTTATAGGTTTCAGAGAAAGTTAAACAAGTTATCAAATTCATCATCTGAAAAACAAAAATAAAAATTTGTGAAACATCTATTACGAGAAGCAATGAGCGTAACTTAAAGCAGATTTTTGTATATCACTTACTTGCAAGCTGTGCATATCGCTCATTTGCTAGTTTCTTGAGTTGCGTGCAGAAAAAGAACGAAAACTTAAAGAGAAAGAAGAACATATATGATATACTTTCCTCTATAATTTCAGTTGTCACACCAATGTTGCACATTTCAAAATTAATATTACAAAAAATACTACAAAAATAATAATATAAAAAAATAATATAAAATTTTAATGAATTTTGTAGTATTAATTAAAATTGATCCATTTTTCCGAAAAAGTTTTATCTTTTATGTTGTATCATTATTATAGCAAATAAGCGATATAAACAGGGTATTCAGAAATTTGAGGGTAATCTTACTGTAGCGTAAAATTTCGCGAAAAATTAAGTAATAAAAGTGCAAATTATTTTTTCTCGTAAAATAGTAGTATAGCCTTTAAAGTTTGATTAATTATATGCGTTGATTACAAAGTTATCTGACCGTATGACGTACATGCAATAGTATTAGATACTAAATAAAACATTGCCACTGTATGCATACTGTCACAATGCTTATTATTAGTCAAATTTTAAATGTTTATATTTAAAAATCTGCTTTATGGAAAAAATAAATTATGCTTATTCAATTTTTCACGAAGTTTTCGCCCACATTAAGATGCAGCCTTAAATTTTTGGACACCCTATGTATATGTGTATATTATAACAAATAAACTATATATATATATATATATACATATATATACACATTATCGTTACCAAATCCAGATTTGCACATTTTTTTTCGCGAATGTACATATAGTTACAAGCGATATTTGACAGATCAAGCGTGCTTCAAGTCTCGTGAATCGAAAGTGTATATAGCTTGACCCTGAAAGTCTAGTAGACTTATATCGCGTTAAACCTGTCAACTCACTTTCCGCAAGTGACCTATATTCTACTGTCCGGTTTCCATTTCATTCCGCTGATGCACTTTTGTCATTTTACTCTGAACTTATGTACAGTTTCTCAGATACGCTTTCTGGACCCTATTTGGGAACTCTTACATTCTATTCATCGCTAGATATCTAAATTGCTTCTGTTATACGCAAACTAGATGTTTTCACATTTTTCTGTCCAATATTTTTTCTGTCCAATATTATTGTGGATAGTCAAATGTTAGTGTTTTAAAATAGTTTCAAATAACGAGAAAGCGAGAGTTCCGGCAATGATCAGACTAAATCGGCAAGAAAGATGAGGAAGTAAAATGTAAAGAGATTTATAAACATATAAAAAAAAAGCGGAAAGCAGTAGGAAAAAGTTAGTGACTGGGAAAGCGAAGGAATTGACAAATCTGAAAAAAGAAAGAAAAATCTTAAATGACAAGAAAGTAAAAGACCAAAGTATTGCCAGATAATGGATTTAAAGAATCATATAGTCTAATGAAAGAGTTACATCGAGTGGGAAAAGGAATTATGACGGTGCAAGAAAATTATAATAAAATGATGATAAAGCACGAAAAGCGAAAGCAATTTTAAGATGACATCCTTTATTCGAAATCACACATGAAGCAGGATAATGATTCATCGCATCCGCGTATTTCTGAATAGCGTTATAGTTCTAAATGGCTTTCTTGAGATAAATGATAGAATCAATTTTCTTCTAAAGCTTTAATAATAATTTTCTCAATAATGTATTAATATTATTTTTTCAATTTATTTATATTATTTGAATAAAATCATAAAATTATTAAATTTATATTCAAAAAATTTTTTATTTTATAAATTTTTTTACGAACCTAATAATTTTTCTACTAAAATAAACGTGTAAAAGATCTAGACTTTTAATATAAATTAAATAAGTACAATGTATGTGACTACAAATATATTTTATACTTTATATTAAAATTAAAAATTATATTCAATTAAATTTAACTATTGTACATTAAATTAAAATATTACACAAACTAAAATTTAAATATTTAAATAAATTAAATTTAACCGAAAGAATTCGATAATACTACAAAAGTCGAGCATTTCCTTGTTGATCAAAAAGAATGATGTTTGCGGAACATTGTCTTCCATGTTTCGTTTTAGTGCGTGTCTTGCGCAATATAATGCACATGCACTGTACTTAGCTCTTATCAAGATGTTAACGACGTGACAGGTATATTATTCGCAGCACACGAAAGCTGTGATAATATCTGACGTTCAAGGATATTCTGTTATGCGTAGATATGCACTGACTGTATAAGCAAAGCAATTCTCGATGCAGCTATCTACATTGCAGATTTTATTTGTGATTGCTATCATTAACATTAATGTCATATTTATACACATACAAACTTAAATGTTAATAAACCTGTATAAATACATACAATATAATAGTCATATTTTAAATTTTAATATATAAATTTATATACTAAAATATATATAAATATATGTATAAATTAAAACTCAGACTTGAATAAAGAAGTTACTAAATTAATATTGATACATTAGAGTTATACTTATATCGGAATTATATAATAGCATAAAAACGTTGTATATGTATAATTTAAATATATTTCTGTCAAAATAATAAATAAAGCATACATTTGTCATCGTTTATTTCCCTTTCTTGGAAGTAGACCCCGACAATTGTCAAAATTCCCCTAATTCATTGTCTTTTCATTTGGATGATAGCCATAAGTAACGGTTCCTTTTTTCATCTCGTTAGTGAAAGTAAAACAATTGAATGTTTTTAGATACTATAATTTAATACGTTGGAGAACAAGTTAGATGTAATGCTATAAGGAATGATCGCAATTACCTTCTTATCGGCTGCGTTCATTCTTAACCGTGCATAATCTTTGTGTATGTTTATCACACAAAGATACAAAAACGAGAAACAAGATGTAGTAACTTTTTCATTAATTTCTCTAATAACACGCATTTTACTTTCGAACATCGATAGGCTTAGAACGTGTGGCGATATTTCATCTTTTTCCGTACCCACAGTCCAAGAACACTTGTCAGCGAGCGTTAACATCTTTTTCTTGCTAGTATACTTTATGTAAGAGGTTCATGAACGAAACACGTGCAAGCATAATATTATAATGTTGACCTTACGCTCTCTTGCAATCATTATATTAGAAGTAAAATTAAAGAAAATGTTAAAAATAAGATTCTATCTCTTTAGATTAAGAAGGAAGTTTCTTAGCTAAAAGACGCAATAAATCTAAGAAACTCTGAAATTTTGTGAAAAATATTTTGGTTTATTTTATTATGCCTAAAATTAAGCTTCAACTTTTACAATAAATAATGATATTCAAGACATATAACGTTCGATTCAAAATTTTTTATATTTTAGTAATTATATGCACCTCCCAAAAATGGACTTTGGTGGCTCGGGATAAGAGACTTGTAGCGTCTCGCAGTTTTTGAACATGGCCGGAGACGCTACCGCGTCTCCTGATCAACAAATCTAATTCTTTTGTCTCTTTTTCTTAGATACGCCTAGTTTCGTATTTTGTAGCACAAAGCACTTTAATTTTAATAGATAGATTGAAAATTAGATAAAAAAAAGTATATAAAAATGTACTAAACAAAAGTACGTGTGCTAGGGTGATTTTTTCCATATACAATTCGTTTAACAGTAGATTTTATCAACTGAGATAAACCGTGAAAATAAATGCAAATTATGAATGTTTCAGAAAGCTATATATTCTGGAATTATTTCATGCATGAAGACCAGATGCATACATTACCAGGAACTAAATATCCGGAAGTATTTACATATTTGGACAAGATTACTAAAATTAAGAATATCAGAAAACAATACATTTCTAAAAATACATATTCATACTTATTTATACTAATATATTATAATAATTCTGCTTTTCTCTCATCAGCATAAATTAATAGCCGTACTTGCTAAGATTTACGCGTATTCAACATATTTAAATGGATATCATCGTTTAAAATGCGACACATAGTACTTTCCTCATGTTTGATGACCTTCTTGTAAGTCCAAAAATGAAGAATACAAAATAAACTAGGATTCTGGCAAACAATTGCGTTTTCTCTCGATGTTTGACGAAGCAGTGCTTCCGCCTATCTATAGTAATTAATCGCACTGGGAAATAAAATAAAGTAAAATTTGTCGAAGAAAAGGTAGAATGGAGTTGTTCGACACAGAATAATAATTCTTATCACGTTTTGAAATTAGATCGTCGATATACAGAAGTAATTAAAAATGGCTTAACGTATCCTACCCGGCCTTCCGAGGTTTCCTAGATTTCAGTAGGATATTACGTGATATCGCCCATAGAAATGTATAAGGAAGAAAACAAAAGCCTTTAATTGAAAATATCCCGAACAGAAAGTGCGGAAGGTGGTTGACCTTGTACACTTTCTCGAGATGTCTTGCGAATGCAGGGGTAACAAGAAGCGAAAAGACAAAATTTCAATCTGTTACGCGAGAGATGAATTATATCTTTTCGAGTCCTTTATATATTGACCTGGTTTACTCTTCTGGTTTTCTTCTTCTTACATTGCATTGAAAGAAAAATTTTTGATATTTGTGACTATAATTATGTGTTATTGCAATTATGATTATTATTGGCATCATGATAAAACTATATGTATAGTTCTATCAACAAATATGTATAGCTTCCAACAAAAAAATGACTATAATTATAGTTAGTATTACCATATAAAAATGGTTAGTATAATTTAAAATTATTTTTTTGGCTAATTAATTATAAGAATTGCGGTCAATAGAGATCGAATTGAACCGCTTTTCACCTGCAAGTGGAGTCTGATTTGCAAAACACATGCGAGTAGTCCCCGCGTTGCAGTTGACTACTATCTGTGCCAAACAGCGACGATGCGATGTGACGCTCGACATATCAGCGCGAGGATACTTACCTTCACCTAGACCTTTCTTTCACCGTACGAGAGGGGATCCATGTATAAAGGCTTTCTTCTTGCTAGCAATGGCATCAGAGACCACAATATCATTCAACCACTCGTCTACCACCAAGTTACGAGATAGTTACGACAGCACCCCATTTCAGCAAGCATGTTGTTTATTGTAAGTATCACGTCACATAAGTGTTTGTTAAAATTTAGTTCTATTTTTTGTACCGATCATTTTTTTATGTTTTCATGTGTGTGTCTTGTACATATTACATCTCCACAATTACTTTTTTTACCATATACAAATATATGAAACAAAGGTGAAGTTCGATCGTTAAACTTTTAAATTTTTTATTTCTAAATGATTACCAAAAAATGAAAATTGTAAAGCATTAACATAACATGTGTTTAATAATTTATATAAATACATTATAATTAAGGTAAAATATAATATCTTTAGAAACAAAGTTTTCATTAATTTTTACTTATTTAATAGACACAATATAAGTATTATATTTATTTACTTATCATTTAATTTTCTATACTAATAAATAATCAATGAATGATTTTATATTAACATATTTAATTTTATAACATAGTACCTCCTAAAAATTAATAAACTAAATATATTGCAATTAATATTCTATAGCACACATTAATACTTACAGCATATTACTAATCGATATAACTTCCTTTAGAAACCGACCAAAGTTAATATTAAGTTAATATAATAATTAACCAAATATTTTTGACCATAAGCCGACAAGCTGCAAAAATTCACGGATGAACATACAGTTTGTAGATCGCAGATTGCACGTTACTGATCTAGTATATAAAACATTCTGGAATTCGTAATTTTTATTTGGTTTTTTGAGGAATATGTATTTAAGTTGATTAAACGAATTAATATTAGGAATATTAAAACTAACATATCAACAAAATTTACATAAAAATATTATTTTAATAAAATTATTAATATTATACAATCTCTCTTTTTGGGAGTTAAATGAATTAATTAATTAATATAACAAATTTACTTACACAGCATAGCTCCTTACATCTTTTAATCTTTCTCAATAATTATTTATTAAGTTTATATATAAATAATCTCTATAATCGCGAGATTGAACTAATTAATTAATTAATTAGTTATGACGATTTAAAATTGATATTTGCAATATTTTTTACATTTTACATCAAATTCAAAACGCTTGTATTAATTACGATTCATCTATTTCAAATTATGATTAAATACTCTCCCACGAATATTAACTGAATTACAGTATTTATTAATATACGATGTAGTTATCATGTAACCGCTCATCTAACCATTGTTAGATTACGTATATCACATTAATAATCGACTATCAACCCATAATATTGCGATAATAATTATGCGCCAGATCATCCAATTAATTTTCATATACTCCACTGACTAATTAGAATTTACCACCTGTTTTTTGTTTAATTAATATGACTATTCATAGCTCATCTGTAATTATAACTCGGGTAACAGTTTAATAATTGGCTAACAGTGTTGTATTCCACTTTCACGCAAACCGATCAATTCCACGAAAGTGGGACACCCTAGAAAGTGATGTATAAAGAAGTGCGATAACAACTGATCTGATCGCGTAGGTGTTTCTGGTGGCTTTCGCCTGTGGAGTCAGCTGCAATGAAAACCTGCCATCTCAGCTTCTATTGCAGCTGAAGGACAAACGCGGCATTAATGACAACTTAGTAACTTTCCCGTCGGGATCTTCTTCCTCCTATTCGGCTCCCGTTCATTCGAGCTTGAGTTCCGGTTACGAGCTAGGTGGATCATCCGGTGGCTTCTCCCTGGGACACGGCGGTTTGCTTAATTCAGGTGGCTCTGTCGGCCATGGAATTGGATATTCTTTAGCGCCGTCCAGCAGTCTCGGTCTTGGATCTGGATACCAGTCACCTGGATTGAGCCAAAGTCACTTGAGTCATCAAAGTGTTTCTTTGGGTGGACACTCGGCTCAGAGCACCTACTCCGTGCCCAGCATAGCTCATCTGGGAAGCGGCGGAAGTAGCAACACACTATTCGCTCCAGCGAAAACAGGCCCCGTTACTTTCGGAACCCATGGTGGCAGCGCCGGTGCCGTAAGCACTTCCAGTTCCAATTCGCACAGTGCGCCGATCTACACTACCGGCGGCCATGGACTTTCGGCTTACAGCAACGGAGGATCTAACGCTGGTTTTCAGCTCGTACTGGGATCGTCAAACCAACAACATGGTCTGTCATTGGGCTCATCGGGCGCCTCGTCAGGCTACAGTCTTCCTACTCATTCCGCATCTTCAAGTTCTTCGCATCCCGTGACAGGCGGCTTGATCATCGCCAGCGGTTCACACGGCAGTTCCTCCAGCTACAGCCTCCCAACATCTACATCTTCTCACAGCATTTCTACTCTGGGTAGCTCTTCAGGCACTCAAGGAGCATCAGCTACGTATTCTCTTCCGATCAGCTCTGGATCTCACGGAATCTCCGCGTTGTCCTCTGGTGCTGCGTCATCCAGTTATCCCGCAGGATCCTCCAGCAGTCATTCCGGATTTTCGAGCATATCGTCCGGCGGTTCCAACTACCAACTACCGATTGCTTCAGGATCTCACTCAAACTCAGGATCATCCAACGCCATCGCGTACACGAATTATCTACCGTCTCATTCGTCCGGTAGCAGTGCCAGCTACTCCAGCCCCAGTGTCTCTTATGCGAGTCCAAGTATTAGCCATGTGAGTTCTCCCAGTTCGGGCTTCTCCGGCGCTGGTGCTAGCTATACTCTCAGCGCAAACTACGCGGCTGCTGGTTCCAGCCCAGTCGTAACTTACACCGGAAGCCATGGCTATACGCCTACATTATACAGCTCATCTAGTTCCCACGGGACACCCGCGGATTCGCAAGGAGCTTATACTAGCGTAAGTCCGAGATATTTCGGATACATCTCCGAGAAAGCTGTCAATGCGGACTTAGGTGGCGCAAAGTATGACACGATTTCATACTCGGTTCCAAACGGAAAATATTAATTTATATTTTGTAAATCTTTCTGCGTCCCGACACATTGCCAGGATTCGATAACAGCTTAGGATTATAATTACAAGATCCGTGTTTGGATCTCGACGAACAAGTAATTAAACGCAAAGTCCGTCTAATTATCTAATCTTATGCTGACTCGGTCTTGCCATGAAAAATAGCAATAGTATTTCCCCAAAGTAGAAGACCGTATATTGTTGAGAGATACACTAGATAAATATTTATATTTAAATTTTTTATTGTACGATCTATTTAGAGACAGAAATCTCTGCATTGCAATCGTACTCAATACCCAATTGTTATCTATATTTATATCATATATGTTGTAGTATGTCCCTTCATGTTATTCTTTGTATCACTGACAATTGTGATTTTTGTTACGTAGTTTTATACATTCTTTTGTAATAAATAAGTTGATTTTCCAACAAACACCAGAAAACTCATTTTAAATCTTTAAAATCGATTATGACACACTTTATTGTCGACAATTAACGATCGGCAAATTAATTTAGCGGTATTTACGATCGACTCATAAATTTCAAATATTATAAAGATTTCGAATTCTAGAGTTTCTAGAATCACGAAGATTATCATATACTATTAAAATGCATGTTGCGTATTGCGTGCAGCGTGCGTACGTATAAGATATTTACGCCAATGTTTCGCTTCTTAATAAAGATTTAACACGCACAGTAATGAAGATGATCAAAAAGATCGGAAAAGTGAAAGTGTATCGCGAAATCGACAAATATAATTTTCATCCAATTATTTCAATTTATATTGCAATTAAAACATATAGAGCGCTGGTTTACTTTCGCGCGTTCGAGTTTACAAATATATCTTCGCGCGAATACTAGGTAATTGATTCGACACGCGCGATGGAGGGCAATACACGTATCAAAAGACACTTGAATGGATCTTGATGTGAGTATTGTTGTCCATCAAAATTGATGTATCTGACAACAACCAGTATTGCTTTAACTCGCGGCGCAACCGTGAAAGTTATTAATCGCACAACGATATAACCATATACGAAATATAATAAAAGTATAAGTCCGTCCAGCAAACAGAAACGGGATCACTTTTACTTCAAGGCTGGGACGGATCGGAGTGAGTAAGAGAGATATCTTTCTAAACCTTTATTTTATTTTGGAAAGTGATTGCTAGCTGCAGACAGTAAACTTGACCGGCTAAAATTTATATACGAGTTCAACGGAATGTTATATATAATGGGAATTGATAATATTAAGATATTAACATTGATAATAATAATATATACTATATGTAATCTATTTTCTTTTTTATATATAGATATAGATACATAATTATAAAGTAATTAGTCTTAAAAGCAAAATTACATATCATAATAAAAAGATATTTCTATTATTGATTGTTAAAATAATATTTATTTAATAAATATATTTTGTGTGTTGTCTTGTTAGTTTATATTATTTGTTATTCATCAAAAGTGCTACTTAAAGTTCACTATCATTTAAATAAAAATAAAAAGTTATAAAATTATAATTATTGATATTAGTATCTAAGGTTAGTATGAATAATTACCAATTAAATATTTTTATTTTACAACTTAGAAATTGATTGATCGTTATATTTTTTTATTGGACTCATTATTCTCGTTAATAATAGTTTTCGTATTCGGTTAAAGCGGATCTTGATGTTTAAACATTTCTGTGTAAACTTGTATACGTATCTGATTCTGTAAACTGCACGCCGAAATCTTTTTCAGTGTTGAAACGCAATCATGAACAAAATCAGAGTAGTAATATCATTTATTAAGTTGATAAGCAATTTTATAAGAATAATAATAATTAGATGTTAATAAAAATTTTTGAAACTGTAAATAACTTTATTCTCTTTCATTATTCATGTTTATTTCGATTATTCACTTTTATAATTTGAAATTTATAAAATATATATGATTTTATATACATATTTAAAATTTATAAAATATAAAATATAATTTGCAATACACTATAACTTATTAAACTACATTAAACGTTTCTAAACATTATATGAAACATTTTAACATAATTTAACGTAATATAAATTTTATATTAATAAAACATGGTATTGCTGCCCCTCATCCCCATCACGGGATGATTAATAGATTGTGATGGAAATCGCAATCTATCATTCAGTTATTTGCACGACAAAGCAATTTAGATTGTTTACGCATTTATTAAGTTTTCAAACAAGAAGATATTTCGTCGTCTACAGAAAGTGACTTTAGTTAGTTGCTCCAATCGCGTATTACTCCTTTCCCAGGTATACCTGACCCATTTTCTGCGGTTCATATGCATGAGCACGCGTGTATGGACGTGCACTCACGCACGCGTGGGCAGCACGGCACACGATGTGACATGACACCAGTCACACAGGAGAGCCGCACGCATGGCAAAGGTCTTAGCTCCTCGGATGTGTAATTTAGTTGAGATATGATATACGCCCCACGTCGTTGCCCGATCTAACCGGTCTATCTCGCAAATACAAAAAGCACAACGTTTCACTATTTTCTGACTGGTTTTGCGAGACACGCTCGGGCTTGTCTCACTCTCACGCCCGGTACGGCGAGAGCGGGAAAAGTCCGCTCTTACTCTTCGCAAAGGCGTTCCTTCGGGCGGACCTCCGTCACGCATCTTTGACTTGATCTCGGACTTGCGAGTATCCTGTCAGGCAACTGGGAGATTCACTTTCGTGACGTACTGACCTGTAACGCGAGACTTGTTTTTCTAGTGAAGTAATTGAATGGGATTCAAGCGAAAAGATAATGTAGCAGTTATAGTGAGCATTTGTAAGTTCATTTAAAAATATAAAAGAACGCTCTTGTTGTTGTAGAATTTCAGAGTTAAACGGATGAAGTATGATTTTTAAATAGATGCAATGAAATATTTAGAATTTTTGACAATATATGTAACACAAGATTTGTTTCTAACTCAAAATGTTTATTTAAAAAATCGACATCTGAAAAATTGTAATTGTATGCAAAAAAAACGTTATACATTTTTAATTACTTAATGTATATTTAATTAATATTATTTCGAAAAATTATATTTATGTGCTGATATTGTTTTGTACATCATGGAATTATAAAGTAATTATATTAAATTTATATTATTTATAATTATGGATAATGAATTGTACATTTTATTGAAGATATATATTCTGGTACCTGATACACAGAAAAGTACTAGCAAATATAAAGTTATTTCATGATATCTCTTTCTTCATCTGAAGCGAGAGAAATCGATGGCAAGAATTTTTTTGAATGTCACCGCAATGCAGTGTAATCGTCCATTTCAAATGTTGTTATCATATAAGATGCGGTCTGCTTGATAAGATTATTTTCGCCGTCAGTAAGAAACGGCGCACGAGTGAAAGTAAAGTAAATCGACGTTTTCAAAGGTACAAGAGCATCGCTGCGAAAGGTGTTGTTTTAGCGAGATTGGAAAGATCCTTCTCCAGGATGCCGGAGGGCGCTCCACTTCCTGGTTCGTTCGCTTTGAGCGGCCATCGTTTGGTTTTCCCTCTTTAGCCGATTCAATCCGAATTTTCGTGAAAATCACATGTTGTGAAATATGTACAAAGGCCTCTTCTTGGTCAAATCTAAAACTTTTTTTACATTAAAATGTATCTTCGAAACCATATGACCAAAATTAAACTTTGATGTACATATCTTATTTAGTTCTTAATATATTTTTAGACGTTCAAGCGCATTTATTAAGAAAAGGCTTATTGTGTTTTTAATAAAATTTTGATAAACGAGAAAACGCTAAAGCACGCAAATAAATTTTTTTAAATTAAAATATGTCTCCTTAAAAGCATACAATCTGAAGAAACAGAATTTCGATCTCTTATCTTGAAACTTGTTAAGCGTTTTCAAGTAAAAACAAACTTAAAATGAGACATTCTGTATTTAATAAAGGGTTTTTTAATAATGATCAAGAAAGTGCAAGAAAACGTAAGTCTATTTTGAAGTAGACATCTTATAGAAAGTAGAGCATCATCTTTTTTAAAGAAGCATCGTAGAAGGATAAATAGATGATTATACATGAAAAAAATTAATATATATATTGCGAGATTATTAATTTTATATTTAAATTTTATCATCATAATGCAATTTTCAATGCTCCTAATGTTGTTTTTCTTATATACACAGATGAAAAACGCACATATGTAGGCTTTAAGATTTGTAAAAATTTCAAATAAAAGCCTATTTTACGGAAATAAGTTAAGGTTACCGGCTTTTTTGTTTAGTTCTTATATTTGTTTACTTTCTATTCGTATTAAGGATAAATTAACCACGTTAGCGGCTATAATTTTAAAGATAAGTGCTTTAAATGTTTATTTTACGTAACTTTTAATTTAGCATTAAAATTATAAACTTGGTTTTTGGTCACTTTTTGTAATGTCACAGCCCACTGCCGTACACTATCGAGGCGTGCACTATCACTTCCAGTTGCCTACACATAAGAGCAGAGAAATGTTAAACTAGTTTCCGTGATTTTTCCGATGCTCGGGTATAAAGGAGAAATTCAATGTCGGCTGATGTGTCATTAAAGGTGGAACTGTCGTGTCGGTCTGATCTACGAAATTACCGGTGCGGACGAAGTATCGGATGAGATATAGCGATCAAACGACGGAAGAAAAATAGCTTCATAGCCGAAGGCGGAGATGAAGCAACTGGTTAGTAATAATAAATTAATTATAAATTATAAAATAAACTAATAAATACATTAATTAAATAAAGAAGATTTCATATTTTATTTAATGTCATGACTATATTTATCGCTAATTGATTCATTTTGTACGGTTATCATAGATAGGTATTTTAGGGAAGTCTGTTATATTTTAAAACGGTTTTAGATTTAATGTATTTAAGTATGAAATTTATAAAATATATTTTTATTACAATTTTAAGAGATTTTGTTTTATTTGTATATATATTATACGTATATATATTACACATATATAT